TGGTTTTATTGGCCGACCCATGTTCTCTATCCTTGCAACCGGCGCCCTTGAGTGAATTCACGCAGGGTTCCTCCACACAAAGGATAGGCTCGCGACTTAACCCTATCCTGTGTTGGGGTTACATTACTGTATCTAAGTTTGACAGTTGCGCAGTTGGCAGTTGTCATGCAATTCTGGCGTTGAAAACAAACTCGTGCCTACTAAGTACTATAGCTCTAGCTACTATAGCCCGCGTCGATAACGCCGCAGCGGCCTATAGTACATTGTTCGGCTGGAAAATACCAACTAACGACTGTTACCACTGTCCCCATGAAAATGGATCGCCAAACGCCAAAGTTAGGGGCTTTTTAGGGGCGCCGTTTCGCGGACATGCATTATTACCATGAGATTTCATTTTCACTACTGAGATTTGTCATTTTCATACTGCAGATTTTTCATTTTTCACTTACTGCAGATTTTGTCAATTTTTCACTACTGAGATGTTTCTTTTCACACTGAGATTTTCATTTGTCACTACTGAGATTTTTCATTTTTCAAACTACTGAGATTTCTCATTTTCACTTACTGAGATTTTTCATTTTCACTACTGCAGATTTTTCATTTTCGACTACTGAGATCTTTTCATTTCTCACTACTTGAATTTAATTTCATTTTCACTACTGAGATTTTTCATTTTCACTACTGAGAATCAATACCTAAAGTGTATCGATAGTGCGCGCTCCGAATGTTGTGTTACGCTTAGCTACGTTTACGTTGAGCTTTGGGAGATAGGTGCTATGTCGCAAGCGTAGCCTGGGGTTGTATATCATGCACCAGAATGTTATATAATAATAAAAAAATAATCTTTATGTCAACCTCCTCACTTTATTGTATATTTACAGAAGGTGAAATGTGCCCCCTATCTCTTTAGAGTATCTCACTCATCTTCACCACTGGTTGCTGATCATGAACCACCACTTGGCTTTTGTCAAGGCCTACCAATCGAATTCATCACAAGATCAAAATCTCAATGTCCAGCTTCCTCTAGCCAACACCTGCTGGCGAATGTGCTAAACCTAACCAGCTCGGTCATTCCACATATGAATCAATTCAGGGAAAACCTGGTTCTGGTGCTGCAATGTTGCTGGCTGTTTTGCGAATGGCATAATGATCCAACTGGCATATTTGACTATAGGATCAGCAGTTTGATAACCCCATTCTACAGGTAGCTGATAAAGATTATCATAATTTGAGCTCTCGCCATAGCCTAAGTGTGTAAAAATCTTGTATTTTGGACTATCTGTTTGATGTTGGACTACTGTATTCTCAGTAAATTCTTGCCAATGTCATATCTCAGTGTTTAGTTTAATAGCATTAGACAACTTAAACTTTTCTTCATTTGCTATTTTTAGCCAAGAAAATTGTTTTTACTTTGAAAAGTGTTTCCATAATAAAGTGAGTAACAATTTTAATGTGTATAACAAATATCTGACTTTATTTCTTACTAAGAATCCAATAATCCCACTAAGAAGAGCTTGGAGAATATTCTAAAGCTCACTACGAAGTTTTATCACGGCATCCTATAGATTGTGGTACAGTGACGATATGGGCGCAATCGAACATTTATCACTACAGGCCACTGAACATGCATCAATCGTGACAGTATTCATTCTGCCATCTATGAATTGGGTATGAATTTGAAAAGGGCCTTTTTCACCCTTTGACCTTCAATTTTGGTTTGCACTTGTGGATCAGGATGCAAGATGAGCTACCTTTAGAGGCTCCTAGAAATCAGTCTAGATTCAGTAGATTTTGGAAATGATGAGGATGGCCCTATATCAGAACTATGAAAGGCTGTCGACAACAGACTTAAATAAATTAATACCATGATGCCATCATCACCGCTATCAACCACTGGTCCCTTAATGTTAAAAGTTGGTCATCTTGGATGTGATAGAGGACCTCGGGAACTACTATATTATTGTTTGTGTGTATTTCTGGTAAAGGGCCATCCTCATCATTTCCAAAATCTACTGAATCTAGACTGATTTCTAGGAGCCTCATTAAAAAAGGTAGCTTCATCTTGCATCCTGGAATCCACAACGTGCCAAACTCAAAATTGAAGGTCAAAGCGTGAAATAGGCCCCTTTTTTCAAATTCAACGCATTCATGATCGGCACGAATGATCTGTCCGATTGACTGCAGATCCAGTGGCCTGTAGCTGATGAAAGTTCGATTGCTGCCCATATCGTCACTGTTACCACAATCTATAAGTGAGCCGTTGATAATAACCTTCGTAGTGAGCTTTAGAATATTCTCCAAGCTCTTCTTAGTGGGATTATTGGATTCTTAGTAAGAAATAAAGTCAGATATTTGTTATACACATTTAAAATTGTACTTCAGCGTTTGTATGGAATACATTTTGCAAAGTAAAAAACAATTCTGCTTAAGAAAATAGCATTAATTTTTGGAAAAAAAAAACGTTTACATTGTCTAATCTAATTAAAGCTAAACAACTGAGATATGACATTGGCAAAGAATTTTAACTGAAATATTCAGTGTCAAATAAAGTAGTCAAAAATACAAGATTTCAAACACTTAGCATGCGAGAGGCTCAAATTATGTTAATATATTTCACTACCTGTTAGAATGAGGGTTATAAAAAACTGCTGTTCCTAGTACATATGCAGTTGACATCTTATGCCATTCAAAACCACCACATACATTAGCCCACCAAAGACAGGTTGTCCCATGATATGATTCATATGTGAATGACCGACTGTGGCTAGCTTTAGCACATTCCCACAGGTGCTTTGGCTAGAGGAAGCAGGACATTGCGCATTTGATCTTCGGTGATTGAATTCGGATGGTAGGCCTTGGAAAAAAGCCAAGGTGTGTGGTTCATGATCTCACAACCAGTGCGTTGGAAGATGAGGAGATCTCTACAAGGAGATAGCCACATTCACCTTCTGAATATTACAACTAAAGTGAGATTTGACATAGATTATTTTTTTATATATAACACTTCTGCTGTGAATGATATACAACCCAGCCTACGATTGAATACACCTATATCAAAGCTCAACGTTAACGTAGCAACGTGTAACACGAACATTCGGAGCGCACCTATCGATACATTTAGGTATGATTCTCAGCTACGTGAAAATGAAAAAGTTCAGTAGCTGAGACTCCAGTTAGTGAAAATGAAAATCTCAGTAGTTGAAAATGAAAAATCTCAGTAGCTGAAAATGAAAAAGTCTCAGTAGTTGAATAAAATGAAAAATCTCAGTAGTTGAAAATGGAAAAATCTCCAGTAGTGAGAAATGAAAAATCTCTATGAAAATGATCAGAGGTGAAAATGAAAATCTCAGTAGTGAAAATGAAAAATCTCAGTGCAAAGAAATCAGTGGAAAATGAAAATCTTCAGTAGGAAATGAACATAGTGAAAAAATCTCAGTAGTGAAAATGAAAAACTCAGTAGTGAAAAATCGAAATCTCCAATTGGTAATAATCATGCTCCAAGCGTCCAACTTGAACACTATTAGTGAATCCTACTTTGAACGTTCCCTTTAACATTTTTTAAACTCTTTTTTCATGGACTTTTTTTTCTCTTATGTTCATTTCTTTGCTTACAACTTTCCTTTTTTTTTGTTCTTTTTTTTTTTTTTTTTTTTTTTTTTTTCCTTTTTTTTTTTTTTTTTTCTTTCTCCTTTTATTCCACAAAGTAAGCACTACTGAGCATTTCATTTCAACGAAGCTGGGTTGCCGCCACGCGTGACAGTCACCGGTATTGTATATACATGCCCAAGCTTGCCATGTGTTTTGCCGTACATATCCCGGTACATCACGGTTACGGGCGTTCGCACGCCACTTCGTTGAAAAATGAGAATGCGATAGGTGCTACTTTGTCGAATTAATAAGGACAAATACATGTTTGAAAGTGTTCAAAAAGATAGGTGGCAGATTTCAGCTGTTACGATAAATAAGTGTTAAAAAGTCCCATAACTTGTCGTTTTGCTGATCCATTTTCTAGGCGCGACAGGTGGGTAACAGGTCGAGTTGTATTTTTCCAGCGACAAATTGACTATAGGACCTTGCCAGTCAACATCCGTTTTTTACGCAACGTGCTCGTAGGATCCGCGCCATGTTGGGCAAGCATAGTATGAGTTGTAAACAAGCGGAATGGAGGGATCACACACAACACACGCACGCATCCACGCACGCACGCACACACACAAACACTCACACACTGACATCATTGCCTGTGTGATTCGCTCCCGAGTTAATCCGCCAGCCAGGATTGATAACACCTGCTCGTGGGCAAGTGGAGTCCTCAGTCCGGTAAAGAATGATTGGTTGTGACAATCAAAACTGCTAAACTCAGCTTTGGTTTTACTACACGTGTTTACAATTACTTCCGGCCCTCACCAAAGGGCACATGCGTTTTTGTCCAGATTGTAGAAAAACTGCGCTCTCATTTAAACGAGTTATCAAACCGTGCCGGTAACTCGAAATATTGCATGTAAATAAAAATTTATGATAGTTGCTGTAGTTTACTGTTTTAGATGGAATAAATTGTATTGCATCGTATGCTCATGTTTCCGTATGCTTGTTTCTAAACAGTGTTGTTTCTAGCATCTATTAAGAAAGTTTCTTGGAACTAGTTTTTCATCGTGATTACTAATTAGTACATAGCATCATAGGTGGTGTGTTCAAGAACTTGTTTATTTACTACTTATCTGGCTAGACGTGCTAATGCAGCGTTGGACGTTCAGAGTTTGGAATGAGGAGGTAGGAGGAGGAGGAGCGGAGAAGGAGAGACAGAGGAGATGATGAGAGGGGGGCACGGAGAGACAGAGAAGAGATGAGAGGTATAGGCGGAGAGGATGGGAGGAGAACCAGAGAGAGATGGAGCAGGAGGAGGGCAGAGACGCGAGAGCAGATGAGAGTGAGGAGAGGGGAGAGGGAGGAGAGACAGAGAGATGAGAGAGAGGAGAGGAGGGAGATGAGAGAGGAGAGACAGAGGAGAGGAGGAGAGACAGAGAGAGAGAGGCAGCGAGGAGAGGGAGGAGGAAGAGAGAGAGAGATAAGGGGAGAGAGAGAGGAGGAGGAGAGGGAATGAGGAGAGAGAAAGGAGAGGATGCAGCAGGCAGAGAGGGAGAGGAGTAGCAAGAAACAGGAGAGAGGAAGGAGGCATGAGACAGAGAGGATCGGGTGTGAGAAGGAGAGAGAGTTGACCACCCCAGGACTTGTGTATAAATGAAACGATGCCTGTGCGGTGTCTATACCGAAAAAACTTCACCGTGATAGTTGCATGTGCCTTGTAGAAGACCATGTTTTAGACCTAGCTTTTAACTAGAAGGCCTGTCGATAAACACACTTCAAAGCAATCTATTGATCACTGCACATTTTGTTCCAAAATACTCTAAATTGCATCGCCATAGTTTTTCTTAAAATGGTCTCTATCTGGCTCATATCACAAGGGTTTCATTCTAACATACATTATTAGGGCCAGAAATTGACTTGACAGATTAAGCTCTCACTTCGATAAGCCTCATCATGAACATTTGAACATGATGGACAGCAGAGAACAGCTAGCGGTAAAAACTGCTTCACATTGAAAGAATATATGGTCGAGTAACATAATTAAAAGTCGTAGCCCTAGTGAAAATATTTAACCTTTCTCATCATTTCCCTCAAAATCCTTCACAATGAACATGCTCGCGGCTGTGGCTCCCTCATGCTCTTAAAACGCAATGGTTTCCGTGTCTTAGGTCTGTAGTACAGCTAGGTAAAAAACGCTCCGAATGAAGAAGATATGGTCAGTTATAACGATAAGTAGAAAGTCGGGTAGCCTCGCTGAAATATTTAACTTTCTCATCATTTCCCTCAAAATCCTTTCGCCCCAGTCGAAATGCTCGCGGCTGTGCTCCTCTGGCTCTTAACTCAATGGTTTTTCCGTTCTTAGTAGTCTGTAGCTGCAGTAATAAGCGTTTCGTCAACACAGAAGTCCAGTAACATCTATCTGGGTCTGTGAACGCGCACTCTCCTCTGCCTGATACACTTTCATGTCCGCCCTGATTAGTTATAACAGCAGGTAGGCCTAGTCGAACGAAATTTCCGTATCCTTTTCCCTGATTCAGATCGGTCCTTGTACATCCGACTATCTACAATAATCACCATTATCGGTTTCGTTGAAAATGTTGGAGCTATCTCTAAACTGAACTTTCCACGGCTGTAACCACGTCGCACGGTTCGCACCAATGATGCCAGACATGGCCGCCTTTGTTTTGATGAACGTCACGTGCAAGCCGGGTCTATTTAGCCCTGCCGGCAGTTTATCGAACCTAGTCTCCTCTATTTATCGTATATTCATAGATAAGGTAGAAGCCATTAATAGCCCACAAGCTTGGATTAAGATCTCAGCCAGTAGATTACAGTGGAGACTTGACATTGTCATGATTGGTTTTATGGGTTTAGGAGCTATCGCCGATTTAGTAAGCGTCGCTGGGGCTTAATTTCCCTCAGGCCGTTTCCGATCGTTGTGTGTTCTGAAGCCGCGCGTCATAGATTTTGTTTGTCAATTTGGCCAAAGTAAATAAGTTTCATACACCCATATTAACTTCCGTGAGTTGAAGTAAGGATGATGATGTTATATAAAATGACTATTAACTCAACCTAGAGAGGACGCCTTCGCACTTTTTATAGGTATCTGAATTATAGCTCCGTATCCTAGCAATTTCATGTTTTGTACGCAGACGGACCACGGCCCGACATTTTTGGAGCAATCCTCCCATTTAGGTAAAATTAATTAGGGTTCTGCCTCTACCTACCCACTGTGAATTTACTGCTACTGGTTCGAAATGCATCCTTAGAGCAGCATTGTCTCAGAAGAAAATTACTATTTAAATGCCCACCAATTATGTTATATATTGCAGTCAACATTTTGGAGGAAATTTGATAAAATTTGAAAGCTACAAACTTTCAGTTCGAGCTGCCCGTTTTCCGTAACAAAAGTATTTTATCTGGTTCAAATTAAAAATAGTTTCACTGCTGCTAGATATATAAAATTTGGTATAGTAATGTGCAGGAGCACATAGTATGTGATATGTTGAGTAAATACAATTAAAGGTGCAAGGAATTGTAAATGCGACATCAATTTTTGGGGAAAATGTAAAATGGTATCAAAATCGAAACATGAATTAATGAAAATAATTTTCAAACTACTTATAGCCTGCAGCAAATACAGCATACTATTAGCTCATAGCCAACACACGCGTATGTATATATGTAGAAATTACATGAAAATTGTCCGGGAGAATCTTATAGTATATGCCAGAAACAAAAGAACGGGAGTAAATACAAAAAGTACATTGTTCGGTAAACCAGGTTGAACTGGCAGTTGAGAACACACCCGTTAATGCAGAGGCATCTAGTAAAAACCGAGCGCCATTAATTGTAGTTTATTTTCCTTTATTTAAATTCTCGCCACAAAGCATCTATAATGGAATTGATAGATATTAATTATTATTAAACTTAATCAGCAAGCGACGTCAGTCAAAACTAGAAATTACACCACCTAGGTTCAGGTTGTTCTAATTTTTGACCTTCAATATCAGTCATGTTTATCGTTCAACAAACTCACTTGTATTACCAGGACTAATATCAACTATATAAGGCTTAGCTATCTTTGTTTGTAAATGTCTGATAAAATTGCAGGAGAAACATCTAAAATAATAATAAATAATGCGCGACAAGCTAACCACGTCTAACAGTTGAATTTAGCCTGCATCATGCGGCCTAGCTTCTTGCCCCGTGTTTACCAGCGTGACTGGTACCGGTCGGATAGTTCCACACGCACACTTAACGCTGTCAGTGGCAAACGGGTACCAGGTCTATTACCAACACTGGCAAGACAACGAGTGACACGCCAGTCCGATTCAGCCAATCAGCAAACAGGCTTACCCCTTTATGATTCCTACGCTGTAATGCCGCACGGCAGATTGGTAATTACAAATGCTTTTACAGGCAGTACTAAGAACTGTTTTTCAATTGGTATGATGGACGTATTCTAAATATGACGGAACGAATGAGGATGCAATGCTGGGTGTTTTCTTTTCAAGCGATTGTCTGCGAAAGTGTTTTTTCGAAGCGTTTGTTTGATTAAAAAATACTAATTTTCACAATGATGTAACTATTTAACAGAAAAGAAAACACCCTTACAGATAAACAGGTAAGGTATGGTTCACATATTATTATCAATAACAAGCTGCAATTAATGACTTTTATACTGCCTGAAAACGGCTCAAAGTTTGCGTCCCTCCGGAAAAATTTCGGGCCGCGCGCCTCATCGCCAGGTCGCTGCTATGCCCCGTTTACGATTTTTGTTGCGTTTTTTAGCACGTTCTATCGCTCAAAAACGGTATACTGGAAAAATTCTGAAAATAATAACATAAAACGGTTTGAGGCCGCCGCTTCTCATCAGACTACAAAGTTTGATTTAATAATATGATATATATTAAAAGTTACGTCATCTGAAAGTGGCGCTACATTACTCGCATTCGAAATGATGCGTTGCCTCAATATAGGACAATATGGCGCGCGAGGCGATCAGCCATCGCTACTACTACTACTAGTACTAGTACTAGGCCCTAGTAGGTACTATTACTAATTACCAAACTATTATTTTCAACAGTACTGTCTTACTTTTGACATCTGAAATATTCTATTTCGCTTCCACCAACTGTCGGGACTAGGCTGGCGTAGAAACCTGACGGCGGTTAGGAAAACCATGTCGATTTAGAAGCAAATGTAAATCTCACGACTGTTTCACGGGCGCTGCCATAGACGGATAGTAGGTGCCGCCATCTGTAGGACAAATTTGGAACATTACGAAGCCCTGTCAAAACTTTAGAACGGGGAGCTAGATATATATCCCATTCCCCAAACATATTTATGCAGTGTGTTGTATTTCTATCGTGTCTTATTCGCACACCTATGCAATACGTCGTTTTACGGTTCCACGAGAAATCTTTTTGACGAAGTATTGACCATCACGACATCGAACGTGATCGGCTGCAATAAATTTAATCAAGTCGCTATAAACTTCTGTCAAGTTCCAACTTAATTCTGTATAACTTCTGTCAAGTTCTAATTGTGCAAGTTCTAACTTCTGTCAAGTTTCTAACTCCCGCCAAGTTCTAACTTCTGCCAAGTTCTAACTTCTGTCAAGTTCTAACTCCTGCCAAGTTCTAACTTCTGCTAAGTTCTAACTCCTGCCAAGTTCTAATTTCTACCAAGGTCTAACTTCTGCCAAGTCTTTCTCAAAGTCTGCCACGAGCAGGACAATCGAAACGAGCCAAAATCAGCAACACTGCGCGTGCGTGCGTGCGCTCGGTCGTAGAACAAAGCATACATGTTTAGCATGTCGTCTGCGCGTCTTAAGACACTCACGGCCGACCATTGTTCCCCCGCTACCCCCGCACCTGGTCCACGAACGTGTAATAATAGAATCCGAACAAAGGTGCACGAGAGAGAGGTGAGAAAGGGCGAGGTTGTCAGAACTTGTCGTGGGTCCGTGCTCAAACTCCGCAGTCTAGTTACATGCGTGTCGCCATTCACACGCTGGCGTCTATCGATGAAGACGCAGTCGTCTCTATATCTCTCTCTCTATATATATACACCAAGAAGATGTCAATTAAGACGTTCGTAGAATCCTCATAATACGTGCAGCGTGCGTGAGTTTGCATCCGTCGAAGAATTCTATCGGAAATCGACCTACCGAAACAGCATCTATTGTTTATTCGTGTGGAGTGTGTAACGCGTGCCTGCATATACGCACTCGTCGAAAACTTCGATTATATACAATCATCTACCAACTATTTCGTTGTAAGTAGTGAAAGTGAGATAGAGGGAGATTGCGATAGAAAGAAAAGTGGAAAAGAGAGAGAAAGACGTAAAAAACGGACGAGAGAGAGAGAGAGAGCGAGAAAGTAAGAAAATCGGACGAGAGAGAAAGACAGGCAGATAGACAGAGATCTACAGCCACACACACACACACACACACACACACACACACACACACACACACACACACACACAGCAGTAACTAGAGCTATGGTGGAGGCCGTGTACGTTGTCGCTGCCGTGGCGACACTTGCCGTGTTGCTGCTGCTGCTCATCCTTGTCACCATTGTCGTGCTGGTGCGCCGCAGGTGTCAATACGAAGAAGAGAAGAGCTGCGACATACCGCACCTAGAGATCGGCAGTCTACCACAACGCAATATCGACCATGGTGAGTGCGAGATAGAGAGAGAGCGAGAGAGAGCGCGCGAGGGTGAATGAGAGTGTGTGTCTGTGCGGAGCGTATGGGCGCGCGTGTCTGTATGTGTGTATGTGCCTGCGTCGTGTGTCTGTTTGTGTATATGTGCCTGCGTGTGTCTGTTTGGGTGTATGTGCCTGCGTGTGTTTGTTTGTGGGTACGTGCCTGCGTGTGTCTGTATGTGCCTGCGAGCGTGTGGATAAGAAAGAGAAAGAGAGCGTGCACTTTCTGACACTAATATAGCTATATCATTTCCATAAGATCTCTTGGTTTCCTTGCATACAGGTTTCACGGAGAAACTACCGCGAAGTTACCGACTGTTCTCACGAGATCGGCTACAGACGACCGACTACCAAAGGACGCTATCATCGTTGGACGTCGTTTCCGACAGGCGGCGCGCGTGTATGCAGTTTCATCATGTCGACATTCCAGACCTCTACGTGTCGAGAGACGACGATGATGATGATGTTTTTGATGGTTGCGTCGGCATGGATGTTAGCACGGCGCCGCTAGGGGGCAGGTCGACGGGCGTGACGAGATCGTAGCCAAGAGTCGCTATTCATGAACTGAGATATTTGTTTCGTTTTTTGATATCGCCCTGGAGATGGCGCTGCGATATCGTATCAGACTACAAATCTCTGTATTATATAAAATCAGGGATTAATAATGACAAATTTGTCAATTTTTTTACATCTTTGGCAAATTTGTCATTATTAACCTCCTGATAAAATATATATTATGTAGTTTATACGTATATCAGTGTATCTGACGTTGATACCTCGCTCGCTATGTGCTGATAATCGCATATGTTGTTAACGTAAATGCCTCTCTAACATCTATCTACACCTACCATTCACTCGATGTGTGTGTGTGTGTGTGCGCGCGTGTGCGCGCATGTGTGTGTGTGTGTGTGTGTGTGTGTGTGTGTGTGTGTGTGTGTGTGTGTGTGT